TCCGGAGAAGAATGGAGACGATTGGATCATTAAAAGTTGTTTAAAATCGATGAAGTAGTATTGAAATGTTACTATCTAAGAAATTGCCTTTGATAATTCATTAATCCTAATATAGCAATTGTAATGTAGGAACGAAAACTTGCAATATTTCTATACGTATAGGTTTTACCAAGAAACTTTCTCGTTCGGTGTATGGACCGTAGATTAATTTGACCCTTTGGATTACCAGAGGAACTAACAAAGAGGAGCCTCGGCAAACACATTAAATGGGCAGGTGAAATGAAATTATCGTTGACAGTAGCGAGAGAGACAATGAGAGGCTGGGGGAGCTGGGCGTGGCGGCGGTCGATACTTCGCCCTTCCCTCAGCGGGGAGCATCTCTTCCGCTCCTTGGGGAGGGTACTCTCCGGGATAGGGTGGTCTCCTTCCCAGTCATAGAAGAACCAAAATACTAATCATAAAGCACTTTAAAAAAAAGTATAGAAGTTGGGGCATATCCGCTTACGCTAAAGGAAGAAAATGCCACAAGCTTAAAAAAATAGTTTAAAGAAATCGACGCGAAGAAGGATCGGATGAGTAAATTCGAAAATCTAGAGGGATCGAAAAAGCCAAATCGACCAGCACCAAATATAATTTAAGTAGAATCGAAGAGGAGAGAGAAACTGACGTTTAAACCTATCGCAATAGTCCGAAACGTTGATGGAAGAATGATGTTACGTGGGATCTTGAAGGCTTTGGTTTTGGTGTTACTGGCATCGAACGATCCTACGGATTCGTAGGTGTTTGTTTAGGAGAATAATGGGAGAGTTTATTAGTAGCAGGGGTGTTCATTCCCTCCCTCCCCCCAAGGTATCTAGATACACTTGCTGTGGTCTGGCTCATGTTTTTCTTCTGGTTCCCATTTTTGAAACTTTTTGCTTCGAAAATTCATAGCCACGTCGAAATATGGCCCCCTCAAAAATTCAAATTCCCGTAAAAATGTGGCCCCCCCAAAAATTTCATATAATCCCCTTCTGGGCGGGCATCCCTGATCAGTAGTATAAGTCGTAATTTAGGTCTCAATAGTCTCCTTCATAACATCAATTTATTCACAGGGATTATTTAACAATACATTGATGATATGACTGAGGTTACTGAGACCTAAATTGGGACTAGTTAGGTATTTAGATTCGTTTTTAAGGTGGCCCAACAATCATGGTGGTTGCTGCGTAAATAGTGTTGGATGGAATGTATTATAGCGCGCACAGCAAGTGAAACTGAAGTCTGGTTTACACGCTGATGTTTTCTGCCGTGATAGTACTTCAAGGTAGTAAGAACAGTAACATGGTGATATAGAACTGTTTATTAACTTAACAAAGGCTGCTCATATACAGAAACAAAAAAAAGTTACTAAAAAACTTTTCATGTAAACCAATTTAATAGTTTTTTTTATTTATTTAAGAGTTTTCCATAAAAACAGCCGTTTTTCTTAGCTTACAGACTTTACAAGATATCTTGTACATTTCTTTGTCCACGCTTATTTCGCAAACCAGGTCCCATTAAAGATCCGTTTAAGTGATCACTGAAGTTTTTCTTTTCTTTTTTTTTCGCTCCATATAAGGCTCAATACTATATTTATACATATAGTTCATTTAGTTTTATGGAAAATATTTCTATTACATAATATTAATTTGGGCATTAGTATATTTTACCATTTTTTTTTCTTCTGTAATCTTTCTTTTTATTCGTTCTTGATATCTTCCCCATTCGTTCTCACTAATCCATTTCCACTGCCAGAAATTTCTTCTTAAGATAGTTTTTTATGTTCCTGGTTTCCTCTCTAATAAATATATACATACACTGCATCATTTTTACTAATAGGTGCATATACATAATGTAAAATATATATGTATTTCAAGAAGATATATGTTGTGTTATATTTCATATTGACAAAATATAATCAAATCTTCGTTATTCACCGAGTATATGTAAAACTCGGAACTCCATTCTCAGGAAACCAGGAATACTCTTATATAAATAAAATTAATTTATAATAAACTAGTTTCCCCGTCCAAATAATTCATAAAGAATAGTGATTAGTGGCCAATCACAAAATAATAAGGGAATTAAAGAATTCAATGCATCATAAGAAGGAGAAATCATTTTTTTTATTTTTTGAGTAACTTTAAGGGACCAAGGAATCTAAATTTCTTATATAACTTCATTCATGTTTAAAACAAAATTTTTTACGAATTACAATGAGGGGCCAAGGAACATCAGAACATCCGAATGCGATGTTGTTTTTATTTCTTAAGGTACTTTAGTAATCTTTTTAATTATCATGGGTACAATCATCAAGATAGAAAAAATGCATACTTTTTGAGTTTTTCGCAAATAAAGTTTCTTTTCCTTCATAAAATTTATTCCAGATTTTACTGCTATTTTTTTAAAGTTTATTTATTTATCTATTCGATCTTATTATCTATAAATGACTATTATTACCCTTATTTGTTTATTTTATTCTATCAATCCATTCCTTTATTTTTTTTATCCTTTTTTTTTTTGTCCAACCATCCAAACAGTATTAAGTGGTGTTATTTAGTTTATGGTGCGCTTATGATGCGCTGGATGTTTTGCGCCTATACATCGAAACAAATAAACAAACAAACATTTATTGCAGAAATTTCGAGAGGTTGGGAGTATTTTTCACATGTGAAGAAGAATATTTTCAAAATGAGTACCGAAAAAAAAAACACCTTTTAGAAATAATATATGGAATTAGAATTCATTACATACGTAGATAGTAATTATAAAATCAAAAATAACAACAAATAAATAAATAGAATGCAATACCGGAAATAATAGTATTTCAAATGAACAGGAACATGGTGAGATTTCATTTAAATCTTACGTGTAACATACTACTACTATGTCACTATCATATTATTCAGTTTTCTGTACACTATGTCCACTGTGGTGGCATTAAAGTGTTAATATGATAGTCGATTTATTAATAGATCCCAGCGAGGACTCTCATATTAGATGGTGAAGGATAACTAATGTATGCCACATGAGTGATACATGTTGATTCCTTTATACAATGTAATATTACCAAGGTAGTCAATTCAATACACACAAATGGTAAAAAGCTTTATACTTTACCATGACTGTTAAGGTAACAATTTGCATAATAACTGATTATCATTATAATAAATTTTACATTATATAACATCTACACTCACTTATCAAACATAAGTATATCTTATGTAATGTTTTTAAAATATTTTATACAAATAAACAATTACTAATTATGGCTACTGATCAACTTTTTAAAATATAATTAAGCTTTAATAACAATTGATTAAGAAGTGCAGAATCAACAAGAAAACTATTACGGGCGACAGTCAAGTAATGGCGATGATGGCCAACGGAATAGAATAACCATCAATTGTTGCTTTTCCAATCAGCTAAAATAATTAGAATTCGTGAAACGTAACCAATCCACACGACGTAATAAGATTGATTGGTTTACAATATTAATTTACAGTTTATGCACTGTCAGCAATACCTGACTGATTATTCAACGCCATAGATTAAACGTCACAACGAAGCATTAAAATAGTAAGCCCCAGATAAGGATTTCGTTAAAAAATTGTAAACTTATTCAATTTTTTTTATTAAGTATTTCTTCAAATTTGCATTTCTCTCGATCTAATTCTTTCTGAAGTATTTCGGTCAATTCATGTCCGACCATTTTTCCTCCACTTTGTTTTTCTACAGTATCTTGGTCTCCTCCTATCTCTTTTATCTTCTGCCTCCCTCCTCAATATTAATTTACGGTATTTGATTTGAAAAACCGTTTCAAGAGCCCAAGCCACTTAAATGTTTTTTCCATTGGATCTAAAGTTGTTTCTTTTTACATCCATTCTTTCTCTGCTCTTCTTTACATGCAAGGAACAATGACGGACCTCCAGAAATCCATCTTCGCTGCAAATAATATTTCTTCGATTGAAATTCTAAACCTCAGAGCCGTGCAACTTATTGTTAACACTTATTCCATATATTAGATTCTTAGTCTTTCCAAGAATATTGCTCCTACAGGGAAGAGAACTCAGTATTCAAAAAACCTTTCCTCAATTTCTGATTCTGTTATTTACCTCAATTTGTGGTCTCATGACTTTCCAATGTTGAGCCTAAGTTGCAAAAATGTCCCTTACTTTCAAGACGTGCAACGACCTGAGTCGTTCACCCACATCTATACACATGTACTTTGTTTCTTTTTACTTTTAAACTCCAATGTTTGTATTGGTTCAATACTTTCTAAACACTTCACGTAATCATTAAATAAAAAATTATATAAGTATATGTTATAGATTGGAATCTCAAACAGGCCAAATTTATTTGTACAATTTTTTAAGCAAGTATCAATAAATATTTTGAATAAAGTACTATGAAAACTTCTAGCGAAAAACATTTTTTTTTTTTTTGCCATTTATTATTTTTATATATTTCTATATATTATAAATATAATATCATTGCTTATAACAGCTATTTCCGGAGATTTCCATGGTAATTTCAAAGTAGCACCTACGATAGGTCTTTTGCAAGGACTATAAATACAATTCTCAGTCGCCTTGAGTTCGAAGGTTACTTTTCCAACTATCATCTGAGTATGAGAATGTGGTCACTGTAGGATTTTATCATTGGATTTATTTGGTTGTAATTATGTCCAGCAGCTTTATAATTGTCAGCTGATTAATAAAATCTAATATCCTACATGAACTCAAAATCAATTCATCTCTTGTTCTATTCATATATATATATATATATATATATATATACAAAATGGGGAATTTTAATTATATCCTACTGATAAAAATACATAATAAAATATGGCATTATTAAGTTATTTTACTCAATTTAAATTCAAAATATAAAATTTTTCTGACAAATATAAATTATAAAAAAATATATGAAAATTTTAAACAATTTGTTAATGATAAAATAACAAAGGTACTCACTTTTCCAGAAGAAAACCTATTTGGCGGGCAGTAGCGGTGAGGAGTCCAACTTTCAGATATCCTTAAGTCCCAGGAATAAATCACTGAATTAGCGACATTTTGTGAATATGCCCAAAAAAATATCGTTAGGGAAAAAAAACCCTAACTTCCACTTTTTTTAACAGTAAGTTGCCAGTAACGCGTAACTCCGTTTCCTACACAGACAAAAATAATACATTTACAAATTTTCATAAAAATAAAAACTCAATAAACATACATAAAAATGAACTTAGATAAACAATAATCAATTTAATAAGGCACGCTTATAAATTCATAGTTGAAAGTTTTGCTTTAGAATAAATTTAAACTGGTAAACAATGGCCCATAGAACTGTGTAAAACTAACTACAGAACCTTTGAATCTTCAACTATGGCAAATAACAAATGCTATACGCCTTGGTAGCCAGAGAATTAATAGTACTAGATCTCCAGGAGATCCTGTTATTGTGAGTATCCTGAGGTATGCGTCCCCTGCCTGGAGCCAAAATCTCTCGCACAGACAGAAATGTAGGTTGGCCACGATTCAGCGGATGGCTCTGCTTCGAATATCCAGATCATTCAGGACGGTGTCTCGTGAGGCCGTGCAGGTCTTGGCAGGAGGAATACCTCTCGACCTCCTACTGAGAGAAGACTACTACCGGTACAAGATTAGGAGGGAATGCTTAGCGGCTCTACCGGATTACCTCCGAGTGAGAATGGGAGATGATCCAATAAATTAGAAGATCCTTCGGGAGGATACAGTAGAAGAGTGTAACCGACGATGGTTGACGACTCCGAAAGGAAGTATTTTCCCACCGCAAGTTCGTGACTAGAAACGACTTGGGTCCTCCCGAACTATTGGATCTCACAGATTCTTATGGGCATGGGGGCAACGCTCGTTCAGTATGGTATAAATATCGATCCCCTATGTCCAAGTTGTGGGGTGCCGGAGACTGCTGAGCATGTTGTACTTACCTGTACCGTATATGAGTCACTGAGGGCGAAACTGTTGAGGAGACAGAGCTCTTTGTCCTAACAGAGAAAGATCTTCCTCAACTTATGGACAATGACAAATATGTGGACTTCAAAGATTTTATATACGGATGGAAAGAGGTTGTACTACCAACCCACTTCTCTCTGGGAAGAAGAAGAGAAGCTGCACCGGGCAGGCCACCAGGATAAATTCAAGAAAAGCAAACTAGGCACAAGTGAAGAGAAGAGCAAGCTGTGTGCACAGCTGAGAAACATAGTGTAATAGTTTAAACATGCAGCAGTGGGTAGTTATGTAACAGTAACATCCCACTGATACAAATACCCGTATTGTCTTGAGGCAGAGGAGGATTGAAAATAAATAAATAGTTACATTTTTTTATATATGTATATATCTATTCTTCCTGTTATTATTTTTCTGTTATCCCATTTAATTTATTTTTATTTATTCTATATATATATATGGTATGAATGAAATCCTGTATCATTATCACTAGTGTCCTTAATTATAACAAAATGTAATAAAATTTAAAAAAAGAATAAAAGAAAGAATTAACCCCAAACAACTTCGCTAACTATAGAATTTTTTTTTTAATAACCTCTTCTATCATACATTATTTTTTATTATAGGAATAATGGTATTTTTTCATTCACTATCATTATTATAAATTATCGTTCATTATTTTCACACAATTAATCCATCATTATCATTTTCATATTGGTTTTGACTTCTTATTTTTTGCTAACCTTGTTTTTATTACTCTTTTTTATGTGACGTTCCCTTATATGTTTTTCATTTATTTACTTTTCATTTGTGTGCAATTTAATTAAGGGCCGCAACCTCAATCAACTTCCTATCCAACATTACATTTTATTAAAATTGGTTTGCATAAAATACAAAATAGTATTGAAAAATAAAAACTGTATTCCCTGGCAACTATGATAAACTTGGTATTGAAATCACTAACATTTATTTTGTTTAAAATTTTTAAATTTAAGTTTCACATAAATGATTTTACTCCTACATTCATTATAACAGTTATACAAGTCACGCTTAGAATATAAATCTAAGGTAGGCAAACGGTAATTAAAAGAGACTTAAACATCTATTGAATAAGAATCAATCGATTGATTTGGATCGACACTTACTGAATATATAAGATAGAAAGGGACAAATCTACAATGCTCCCATATTATTATTTTCTCGACATACAGCAGAAAAAGTAATACCCAGATTAATATCAGTGTCTTAAAGTTAATATATTATATAAAAAATACGTGATTAGAAAAAAAATAAATTGGACCAACTATGCAAGCTTTGATAAGAAAGTTGAGAGAAATAGGTCCCGTTTGATCTCGAGATCTACTGATGAGAGCTTTGTTCTTTTAATGACGGCACTACGACCTCCCCTCCATGTCGTTACGTCTGAGGTCTTAGTGGGGAGGATTTTTATATTCTAAGTGGTCTCATTAAAAATCTTTTTCGAATTTTCATACTTTTTTTAAATATTTTTAATATACTACAGCTGACCGTACTGGAACCGCTAACGAAGGATGCTTTAATGTTACTTACGTACTTATTAAATGTCTACGGATCCTCCAAAACAAATACAGGATAAACATAAATATTAATTATATTTTCAAGTAAAAAAAAATATATTTAAGAGTGGACAATGTTATGTAATTCCTTATTTATTTTTAAATACTACTTTAGGTTGTTTTTATGTTTATAACTTGTTTTCACAAAGTTCTAACATATTTGACTTAAATAAGATTTTAAAAATTAGTAATTTTACTCATATCTTTGTCAATTTTAATTTTGCTAATTAGGAAAAATATTTTAAAAATCCTCTGTTTATATACGTGTAATTGATCGATTTTATATAACATCAGAAGAAAATATTTTATTATCAAACCATCTTTTATAGTTTAATACTTAAGTATCGTGTAAAGAAATAAGGACAAAAATTGATCAATTTTATAAATAATGAAAAAATACTAACACATAAGGCCTCGAAAACAAACCAAGTAAATAAAAATATGAGTATATTTTCCATGTTCTATATTTCTATGTCCATGCTCGTTAATAAATTATTATTCTTTACTTAAACTATATTAATAGGGTTAATGAAATAAATTCAAAAAAGAAAGATTCCATTAAAAATGAAAAGTTCTGATTAAAGAAAATAATGTCTATTTTTTTTAATGTAGTAATTATTTAATTTTTAAAAAACAGAGTTAATAATTGATAAAATCGTGACGTATCAAATTTTATGATTCCAACAAGGGCATGGGAAGACTCGCCTTTAAGGACAGATACTGTTTTACAGCAATATAAGAAAAATTAATAAGAAATGGTTATGAAGAATATTCTGAGAGATATAGTATTATATACATATCGAAAACGTAGATATTAGAAAAAATATCAATGGTAAAAATGTGCAAATCACGAAATTAATCATGGAAAATAAATAAGCAGCAACAATTAGTTTCTCTCTCGTTGTTATAGAGTTAATAAAACCAATAAATAGAGTTATTAAGGGATTAATGGATTTGATGTAAGGCAGTGCTTGATGTACCAACCAGTTTTTTGGGAAAACAAATTATTAATACAAGGCCAATTTAGAAAAAAAAAATCCTCCATGAGCAAATTAGTTTATTTAAACATTTTATTGAAACGACAAACAGAACAAAATCTAAATATTGAAAAAATTAAAGTTGGTCATCTTCATAGTGATGATTTAAGAGAAGATGTGCTAATTTAATGGGAGCTCATCCTGATATCCTCAGCACTATTTTAACTGTGTTATCTACAATATGTTTCTAAGAGAGAGGCGCTGTCACATATATAATGCACACACGCTGCCCTTCAAGAGACTTAACGAGCGAAATATTCTCGGCTTCAACATCAGACTCCCTTCGGAAAACGAATAAGGAATGGATCGTAAGTGGTATTACGTAGGGAGTAAAAGGTGATCCGTGCCTAATGGTAATATTAAATGGTAAATAAGTAAATAACATTATATTATTGCCTTAACAATAGGGGCAGTATAGGGACTTCTGTGGGAGTCTTGGGCCGACGAAAAAAATAAATAAATAAATAAAAATTATTACCATATCATAATATGGTAAATAATATTAAAACAGTAGGTAAGTAGCTTCAAGCAAGAATAACATATTATTCTAATGCTATTACAATAATAGTAATTGTAGTAAAACAAAAATAGAGAGAAAAATATCTCTTAATAAAAAATAATTTCCTAATAAAATAAAAAAAGCTTTATTTTCTGGTTATTAACCTCCGTCAGGGCTGCTCGTCTAAGACATTCAATACAAGTGGATCATCAAAACAAGAAGATAATAAAATTCAGCAAAGAAACCAGCAAACCAATGATTAATACTAGGTGCAAGTATAAATACCAAATACTTAGTAATTATTATCTTTGAATGGAAAAATGATATGAAATTAAGTTGACTAAAGCTGCACGTAATTGTGAGAAAAAGTGGCTACCAATAGAAGTAAGTCGGGATTGAAAACCGCCACCTTATGAAGTTCTGCTGAGCTGATAGAACTGGCGGGCCTAAGAAAACCACTGATAGCGCTCGCTATCTCGAAATGATTCCAAGAAGCTAGGTTATAAATGGACATCTAGCAGATAATGGTGGGAAAGATCAAGTAATCCTTTTAGCTAGTTATTAATACGCAAGTAATATAATATTTGTATATACTTTTATGTAGTGATGCTTCAATTGATTGCAACGGGCATAGGCGCAGACTTCGAGAGAGGTTGGGGAGGCGTTGGACCCCCAAAAAAGTAGAGAGGGGGCGTGAATATCGTTTCGCCCTCTCTCCCTCCAATATTTTGAAGAAGAAAAAAAGAATTAATAACAATTGATCAACATGAATGGACAAAATAAGTAAAGGAAAAAAATAAAATAAATAATAGGAAAAGTCGACTAAATGGCTAAGCTAAGGCCTAAAAGTAGGCACCACAAGTATTTTACCACGTTCTATGTCTCAATTATTGAGATTTTAATTAATACTTAATAAGTAACAGTTACCAAATAATAAGATCACATAAGCACCAGGTGCCACACAAATTAGAAAAAATGGGTCAAAGCCAACTCAAGTTGAGCCCCAATAAGTTTAATAATTTCTTTATACAGATTTGAATTAGTAAACTATT